TGCAGCTGTTCTGAAAACGTACTTTTAGGGGGTATCAATTGGTTCGCGCAATTTTCGCCTGAATTTTGGAGCATGCATGAAATAATTTCAGGAGCGAATGAACAATATTACTGTACCATTTATTTGTGATACTGGCAAATATCTTAACCGAGTCGCCCGCTTAACCTAGTACGGGTATAAAATCCGGGCAAATAAGTACGACTCTTTTACCGCGTACCAGTAAGCAGGTTATCTCTCTTGGTGCGTATAAAACCCTCCGCTTAAGCGTTCTTCAGGATCGCCTTAGCTTAGCCATGCAACTGAAAGATTTTGTTCACAAACAACGCTTCTACAGAGATCACTTACGTATTTGTTTATTTAACGTCATGATTTCTCCCTAACTGATGGGTCGCTTATGAGGTCAGATTGGAATTAAAGGAAACAAGCAATTGTTTACGTAATTTTTATAGCAAGGAGGTGGGACGGGACTTACCGTCCCAAAACACCGCGAAACCTGGTTTAAAATATTGCTCCGCTGACGTTAAAGCTAAAAAAGAAAACAAAAAATATGCATTGGAGGGGCAGGTGACCTCCACCTTCATGGTCGTACGAACTGGACGTTCATCTACCATTATGTGTGTACGAGGGGACACCCAAAAGCAACCAATCTTATAGTTCAACGCACAATCGCTTTCTGGTTACAAATCATAACCTACCAATAGCGTAAAGTTTTCCGCGTCAGGTTACCCAATGTCGTGATTATAGACAAATAGATAATCCATTTCACTGCCTCGTTTCTACACGTACAAGTAACATTCGGTGATTTTACGATGGCTGACCACAAAGAGCAGAAGGTGCAATAAATTTTGCAGGCTTTTTCTTTCCTTTTTCTTTAAAAAAAAACAGTTGATACTATTGATAAGCTCGGGCGAGCCTTTAAAGATAGTGCATTGGACAAAACAAATACTTCCCACGGAACTTATACTGTTCTCTGCTCATTACCTTTAGACAGCGCGCTTACAACTCCGAATCCTCCACTACTGTTGTGGACAGACCGCGTCCAAGAGAACCCGTGCGCACCGCGTTGAGCTCACAGTCACGCTTGGTCGCACTTCCGTGCTGCGCCGACGCACTAAGATACTTGATCCGTCAAGACCGCGAAAACGGCTGTCTCCGCTGCCTCAGAGGCTGTCCATCACGACAGATGGCGGCACCCACCCCTGCCACTTCAAAAGGTAAAATCCCGAGGCTGTGTGCGTCCAGCCGTTCTAACTACGCAAAAGCAGGCTCCTCCTCGAAGGCCATTGGATCTTCGCGGAGTAGGATGTATATTCCAGTGAAGTATTTGGGCAAAACACAGGTATATGAGCGGCTTTATCGTTTCCACAATGGCGACATTATATAACAACCATCTTTTCTATACATTCGACGATCTAGAATGGTGAAAACGTCGGAAGAGTTCTTGTAATTAAACAAAATCGTCAAGACACCATATCAAATAATAAGGCAGCTCAGCGAATGACAATGCAGAAACATATGTTTAGACAAAAAACTCAGACTGAGTTGTGACATTAAGCAATGCAAGCCTGGCGTTTTGCATTGCTTAATGTCACAACTCAGACTGCGTTCTTTTCGTATATATATATATATATATATATATATATATATATATATATATATATATATATATATATATATCTATATATATATATATATACCTTTTTCTTTTATCATATAAGCCCGAATTCTCGCAGAGAACATTTTCCCCCTAAATCTGACGGTAGAAAAAAATTGCTGTATAAACATGGACCGTGCAGTTTAGTTTCTCCTGCTAAACTCAAACTCGAGAAATTACGTGTTGCACTTGCGTCAGATATTTCCGATCTTTTTTTCATGCGAAAGCATTAATTCTCTTATGGAGCGAAGCCGGCGTCGTCTGCAGCCGTTGTCTGCAACCGTTGTCTGTGACAGCGAAAACGGCACCTGAATTCCCATTGGCCAAAAGCACGGCAACGCAGATGCTGTGTCACTGAAGCCTGCGGGACGCTCAAGGTCAAAGCGGACGCGCCTCAGAAATAAAACACAAAGAAACGCACAGCAACGCAGATGCATCGTCACGGAAGCCGTGGAACCGGCGGGGGTGCCGCGCCTGCGCAGTGGAAGACCGACGGAGCGCCGTGTGAGAAAGGAAGACGTGGCGCACTGCTTGTAGGAAAGCGCTGCGTGCAGGAATGCTTTCGCATTCCTACACGGAAGCAGTCTGAAATGTCTTCGTTTTTTTTTTTTACTCAACCTCGTTCAATATGTGTTTAAACTACGATGCACTTCGTATATCATGAACGTCTGCAATTTATTTTAGAAAGGTATTTATTAAAAGTCGCGATATCGGTTCATCATTTTACGGAGCGCGAGCTCCAATTTCACCGCCCACAATATGCTTGTTCTGGTGGTTTCGTTTCCCAGCTTCGCAACAAGGCTTCGTAAGAAGCGCACACATGCGGGGATGCATAAACTGTCCAAACAAACTTCGAAAAGTTGAAAATATTTAAACCACTCGGTATTTCTTATGCCGTTGTAAAAAGAATTCATATAATTCACGATTTCGTGAAGAGTTCTTTTTGGTTCCTAATACTTTCGAAACATACGACTTTTAGCGATTCAAGATAAACTAATCAATTAAGCCAATTTATAGCTCCAATTAAATTATGCAAGGAATCGCATTCCTGTGATTTCATTTTTTTGCGATTTAGTTCCTTTCGCTGAGTCTTAAGCCACCGCTTGATACGAGCAATTTCCGGCGGTTAAAAGTATTTGACTTCAGCCTGTTCTAATCAATATTCAAAACCTTTCGAGACCGGCTTAATTCCAACACAACAACCCAGCAATTATTTGAGACCCGCGTAATTAGTTCCGCATTTGAGAGGAAAAAAGGTATTATGACGCCAGGCTAGCCCATAATGCGTATATTTAGAAAATAAAAAACAAATATAGTAGAACGTAGCCAGACGAGCATCGTAACGCACTTTGGAGCATATGGCACTACAATCACAATAGTGAGATCTGCACTGTGTAAATTATTCACTTCAATTTTGTCTTGTTTTTGAAAAAAAAAAACTTACGTGTTGTGAACAGGACGCTGACGAAGGATCCTGTTTGAGAACCAGCGATTGCAGCCACCGAGAAGTTGTACGTGACGCCCGGCATAAGACTCTCCAACCCGTAAAAGAGCGTCGTTCTGTTCTTGTCTGCTGCCGACAGCTCGAAGCGCGAAACGAACACGAGGCTTGAGCCTCTGGACAATCGCACTTCGTAGCCATCTACTTGAGTTGAGGGCTGGTTCCAGCTCAACACCACTGAGTTCGAAGTTACTGTCACTGGACTCAAGGCGGTCACGGTTCCTGGACCTAAGCCGCACACAGGAGGGGGCGAACGAAAAAAAAAAAAAAAAGAAGGAAGAAAAAGGGCCGTCAGACACTGCACCCATTGCGTTCGTTTTGCACATTGCCAAATATTTCTAAATCATCGACATCCGTCAAAACCCTGAGACTGGGAAGATGGCACAAAACGGATAGTGCAACAGAAATTATTCCATGTTTGTGAGCTTATTAAGTTTGGTATTGAAATTTCGTCTGCACATCGAAAAGGAAAAACAAAACAGACAGAGATGGAACCGGAAAGAGGCAAGACCACGCACCCATAAACCTCGAAGTCTAGTCTGCGTAGAGGGTAGTCATACATGTCCTTTACAGCGGCATAAGTATTCTTTCGTGCATCGTGTGGAGGAAACTGTGCGCGAAGTTAATCGGGCATGTGGGCAAGGCAGGTCAAATGTGTCAGCACGGAAATGTAATTCAGGCTTTCTCCTACCTCTAAACTTGGAAAACACATGGACTTGCGCAACTTGTGTCAACGAATAGAGAATAAACTTTCAATTATGTGTAAAAAAGAAATAAAAAGATGTGCGCATTATTAAAGATACATCTGAAAAAAAAGGAACCGCTTGGCACGTGCTGTGGACAACTCATCTTTTATGCGCCTGTGTCTGCTGTGCCCGCTTTACGCAACTTAGGATCTACTAAAACTATCTTGATATCTCACTAGCCGCGCTCAGCGTTACCATACGCAAAGGGGTGAGAGCGTACCGTTAGCAGCAGAAGAATGAAGAAACCTCTCTCTTCACCTCTTTCGTGCGTCCTGCAGACGTATATAGCTTTTCACCACTTCGGAAATTCTGTCAACATTCGTACAAAAGCGGCTTTCCTCTCTCTCCGATCCGTGGCTTTGCCAGCACTGCGCACAACTAGTGAGATAGAGTATTGTTGTTTGTTTGTTTCTGTTTGTATTTGTTCGGAGCAATAATGACCACCGGCGTGCTGATTTTTTTTTTTAATAGCGTACGGTTGTGACAGCCGTTCATAACTAATACTACATTATCACGTGAAGACGTTTCTTGAGTTGTAGGCTTTATTTTCTTTTTCTAAAACTTGAAATGTTGTTGTTGTTGTTGTTGTTGTTTTTTTTAACGGAACTTTTAATCTCTAAATTACTAAATTATGTCCATCCGTCAGTCCATCCGGGCATTTCCCGCTAAATTTAGCGGTGAAACTGAATTGGTGCTTAGGCCATATGACGCCAATTGATGTCAGGTGACCTGACGTCACGTGATCTATGCTGCTTTCCATTTAGGTGCACCAGCCTGCACCGGTGCGAAAAAGTGCAGCGCGGTGCAGAAAAGTGCAGGGCCGTGTACTTCCGGTTGTGTTTTGGATAGGCTGCTCTCATAGATAAAGTACGGAGGTGTGAAGCGAGTGCGGCTGGTGCGGGAGGAGCAAGGAAACCGAACGCAACTGCGTTCGATTTCCTACTCACTATTTATGTTGCCACTTCCAAAGTCGGCAGGGAAACGGATGTCACGTTACCTGACGTCACGTGACTTATGCACCAATTCACTTTTCCCGCTAAACTTTGCGGAAACTTTATGTCATGTTTTATGCTCTCAGTTACTTTTCAGTTCCTCTTACCTTGTCTGGTTGTTTCTTTTTCGTCCATGACTGCTAGTTTCTTTGATGGCGTGTATCCTTGTTGGTGTTTGGCCCATCCCTGCATGTTGGCGGTCTTGCTTCTTTGCGGTTTTGTCTCTACCTTTCTCTCTCTTCTCTCTCTCTCTCTCACTCTCTTTTTATTTTGCCATCTTTTTAACATTTTTCCTCAAAGATTTGTTTTCAGTAGCATTGTTCTGAAACTTCTTGTTGCTGTGTGAGCTCGTTTACGCACTGCCATTTCCATAAATTAGCCTTCCCGGACTTCATATCTCCAATGAGGTGGTACGCACGGCAGGTGCAGTGTCCGCCCTCATTTCGCTCGCTCCTTCTCGAGTTTCTAGTTTAAATATCCGGAACCAAATTGGATGGCCCCGAGCCGCTTAGCCGAACGGTGTTGGGGCCGAACTCCGTCAAATATATGACCCAAAATAAAATTTAAAAAAATACCTCCTACTTTTAATGATGAGAATAAGTTCCTCTCGCGGCAATTCAGCTTGACAACCCGTGACCCAGAAGCTCTTGAGAAGCCATGCCTTTAAGTTGAACCGCGCCTCTGCCCAAAACGACCAATGGATGACAAATAACGGTAATATCCAAAGAAACACCCAATCCTGTATCACTACGTTTGGTATGTCGTGTAAACTCATGAACTATGCCAGCCCATAAAAGAGACTCTTCGCCTTATCGCTAGCGCTTGATCTAATATTGCCGCCCGCGGGGCTGAGAAAGCAACGCTCGGTCACGGACTTCTAGAAGATTCGCGTTGAGTCTGGTTCCGGTTGTAACTTTCGTCATGCTTTCTTATTCTCGAAAGTGCCAGTTCATCCTCGCCCCGAGCACCCGACGCTCGAACCTTCTTTGCCGAATTTCCGAGATAGGGCGCGACGCCGACGCACTGTAGATAAGTCGCTGCCTGCGACCTTGTCGAGTCAGTCCTGCTCTCGTTCTCTGTTACGCTGCCGAATGGCCACCTGCTTTTCTGCTGCCTCGACGCTCTTTCTTCACCTTTTTTGTTTGGCACAAGTTCGCCGATTAAACCTTTATTTTTCAGTTCTCTGTTCGTCCTCTCGTCAGCTTCATTCGTGACAATATTTCCCTCTTTCATCTTCTTTCCTTCCCGATAGGAATTCGACTCTGAGAGCACAAACACATGGTCTGCATAAAAAGGAATACAGAGAATGCTGTCTCAAATCCTATCGGACGACTCGGTGGCCTGCGTGACTAACGCTGACGCGCTCAAAATACTTATAGCTCAATTAAACTGTCGCGGAAACAATGGCAACTGATATTGTTTGCCGTTCATATTTGGAAGCTCGCAAAAGGTGCGGTGGTAAAAGCTAGTTTTAAAGACAAAAGGGCCGTCTTGTCGAGCTTAGAGCAATACGTCCTATAATTCTTACCGGTAAAAATCTACTTACTACTTGGAGTAAATTAGGGTTCGTATTTGCCGCTGCCACGATTGGCTTTTAGGACCAAAGGAAGTACCTAATGGTTTTATCACCCTGTAGATTTTCGGCATGCCGTTAGCACACCAGGCTTTAGACACCCTTAAGGAATATTTGTTTTTCCAGTTTTCGATAGGGCCAAGTTTTGAACAATGGCTAAGGGTTTCCTAAACCAAGTACATTAACTAAAAGCTGCTTGTCCCCGAGCAGAACGACATGTCAGGCTATGAGAAAATATAGGCAAGTAAACATCGAAGATAATGTAACTATAAGCGCAATATCAGGTATTAGATGAGTCTTAACTTTCAAATGTCTGTTATCACTGATAGTTTAAGAAATGCAGGGTGCTTCTTACGTTGTCACTTAACCTATTCATGCTACTTGCTTCTTGATTCGTTCTTCGGCGCAGAGACTCGCCACACTCTGTTTTTCTTTAGTTAGCAGTGACTATAATATACAGTGTGCGGAGGTAAAATAAAACGAATAGTGCCTTGCGAATGGGTATGTTACTTCCGGTTAAATATTTTGTTTGCTCGTTGTTGGTGTTGTTTTAAACCCGCAGTGAGTAGCGAGTGTTTTAGAAGTCTCGCCATCGGGCGCTAACTGCGACAAATCCTATAATTTGCTTATACGGGATTGACACGCCTGCCTGATCCCTTCGATGAGAAGAAAGAGCTCTTCTTCCTCACAGAAATGAAAAACTGGACGAAGGTATCGGGCGCACCTTGAGGACTACCTGTTCGACTAGCCTGGTCCATATACCTAACAACGCCTTAAAACCTATAAATCCCTAAACGCGTTAAACCACTTCGTGGAGGACAAGGCATCGGCGCGGTGGGCACCTTATTCATCCAGGCGCCGAATATAACCTCTGGGCTTCCCCGTAGGGGTCGCCAAGCTGGTTCTTGGTTTTAGCAGATGATCATCCGACAGTTCTTTTCTTACGCTTCCTTTGGCGCGAAGCGAGTGTCTGTAGGGCACAATTTTCGAGTGTTTTTGACTATCTTGCTTCGGTATTCAGGGTTGCTTTCCCAGATCACCGTGCACACCGCCTTTGTACGTGCCGCAATGGCGCATCGTGTAACTTCCACGGAGACTACCGGTCGAGGCGCCGCATTCTCGCGTTTGCCGAGTTGTGCCATCTATTGGCAGCACATCGAAGTAGGCCAGCACCATCACGGACTTGGCACCGCCTGCCAATGCCGTTATCTCGCGATTATTCAGGTTCGGCGGTGTCGATAGCGTCCCTCGTCTCGATACAATCGAAATAACTTCACTTGTGACTTTTTTTTTTTTTCGTGCCAGTACGCATTGGCAACTTAGATGCACGACACTGGGGCATTTTCAGAGCGTAGCTCTCGCGGCTTTTCTCGCTGGTAAACCAAGAGTCCTCGGGCACCCACCAAAACACAAGGTAGATAGAGGAAAACCGGAAGTATTTTTTTCCCTGTCATGGCACCCGGAAGTGGCGCGCACACCCTGTGTTCGATGTTAAGATAAAAATAAAATAGCAAGTTAAACGTAGAAGTTTAGACACTGTAAGGTCGATCCGCCTTTGAGACCGGCGACACTGGTTCCCACTGTAGATTTAGCCAGTGCACTACTATTGCAAACCTGGTGTCTTTACCGTGTGTCGCGCAGTAGTCATCACACTAGCGCACGCTGGTACATTGCTCATCCGGATCGAAATGGGCAGGGGCAAAAACCGATCACTTAAATCGTAACTATTTTATTTGAGTTGAACCACAGATTGAACGGACGAAATATTCAACATGAAACTTCGATATTAAAAAAAAAACAATGAAAGTGTCACTCACCCGTTTGGGCAAAGGACAAACGGAAAGCCTAGAAAGTAAAAAGAAAGAGACAACTGTTTATTTCTGTCAATGTATGCACGATATTGTAGTAATTCAAGGTCAATTGTCTCCAAGAAAATAATCTGTCCATTTTTTATTATTTTTTTTTTTAATGTGCCTGATTTGTAAGTGTGCACTTTCGCGTTGTGGCAATGCCACCGTGTGCCAAAGGATCGGAAACTAGTTTTCAGGAACGTGTAAAACGCAGCAGATATTATTTGACTTACCTCGATCAAGATGCATACGGCGCACGTCACGCAAGCTGGGCTGCACCATCTTTTCCGGGTCATTGTCTGTAAATGGTTAAAAAAAAAGAAAACAAAAACTTATGCTACACTTTTTTTCTAGAGCAGAAGCTTGCTTGTATAGAACTCAGTAACGCTCGGATGCTCAAGCTTATAAGACCTTATAAGCCGTCAGCTCGCGTCCGTTGCAAATATTGAGCTTCGCCTAACGTAATTTGGAGAATGGGCGTAAAACAAATAGAGAAAGATGAAAAAAAAACATGCGTGCATCATTCTTTTTTATAATGAACAGAAAGACCGGCTTGTAGCATAATCCGACAATAAAGCCAAAATACTAATTTATGATAGTGGATTGAGCAATAAGTTCGAACAATTCCGATAAAAAAACATTAACAGCCACTGGCGGCTGAAATACCAACCCGCGAAGGAAGGTGTCCTATAATGGCGATTCGCATCCTATGGTCTCTGGCCAATTTGAATAATAATTTATTGTATTTTATTACTTACCCAATCAGGAGTCGCTTTACAACGCTGTACTCATTCATCGCATTTAACTGTTTGAAAATTGCCTTTAAGGATAAACAATTATATTTTTCACGGAACATCAATGCACACATCAGAGGTTTAGAAGTCTAAAAGTATAAGCTCACAAACACCCTAGCGCGCGCTCACTACTTTTGGCAACCGAGAAATCCAGTGAGCAAAGCGTCGTAACACTTTAAATCCGTTCACACGCAGGTTCTTGTGTTTTTTGTTAGAGTATTAATCTGGAAGTATCGAGAGTATGCAGGCGGACTGACTAGGAAACATCGTAATCTGAATTCTGAGAGCCGGTTATGATGGAACTAATCTGGCGCAGTTACTCATTTTTTGTCCCCATCCCTTATTTGTTAGACACGTATAGGCAGCAAGTCTAGTAAACTACCAAAATACGTAATCGGATGACATGAACGCTAACTCTCGTAAGAAAACAAAACGTTTAAAAAAACAGACAATGATATTTTCGAACAAAAATCCTTTCTAGCGAAAGGTAAGGTCCGAATAAACATACCTAAGAGCTCGAGTCCATACTATCCTATGTTTTCATGCGCACGGTGCGCGACCGATTGATTGTGCGTGACGACCAAGCACGGTCGCCCTTCGTTGCAGTTTTGCACGTGGCCTCCCGGAATACAATGCGACCGCTTTATAGGCCCGTGGCACGACAAGCCCCATGTGAGCAATTAACGTGACGCAGTCGGCGACTCGCCCTCGTCCCCCCCTTATAATGAGACAGCATCCTCTTGCGCCACACACCGTGGTGTAGGGCCTTCGTACTCCTCATCGCCCGCGATCATAATGCGCTATCCAACGGCTTGGCGAGGTTGAGATGGGGTGTTTTTTTTCACGTCAACAGCCATGAAAAGGCGGATGGCAGGTCTTGTTTCCCATCGTGTTCGGAGCAGGAAAGCAGCAGCGACAGTTCGTTTCTTTATGGATGCCTACGAAAAAAAAAAAAAAAAAGACCGCGCCCCGTTT